AAATCGATCTAGCTACGATTTATTTTCAGAAAATGTTGTTTTATTCGTGTTTTCAATAATCAACTCTTCCCGACATCTATTGGCGAATAATAATACTATTTTTCTTAATTGAGGGCAACTAACCGCTTTAAAGACACAACAAGATGGCGTTATAAAAAAAAAATCATCTAGTTAATTAACAATAGTAGGTATTACCATCGTTTTCTACCACAAAGCAATCACGTGTTCCGGTTTGAAAAGTAACTCAAACTTTATAAGATACAACTTTAGATCGACTTCTGTAACCGCATACCCGTTGTGGTGAACAATGGATCACTTAATACTAGGCGTTCTCTGAGATTGTCTGCCCACAGTGGTTTAAAGTAGCTAGCACAGAGGAGTTAGCGAAGTCTTGTGTGTAAGTAACAGTAATGTATCGCATGGTAATATTTAGAAGAGAAATATATCGGTGACTTATATTTTGTTCCGATTTCAAAAGCTCATTTTGCTGTGGTCGTCAAAAAACTAAAATTCATAAAGAGCTTTTCAATTCCAATTCATAATTGTACAAAGCTAAAAAAAGCGTAAAAGCTCACTTTCAAGTTAATTAAAGCGATTCTCAACAATGTTACAGCATCCGCACTGCAGACATAATAAATTAATTTGTTAACTCTGCTTAACATGCACGCATTCAAACCGGATTCAGATGCGTCGTCTACAACGCGAAGTCCACTCCCGCTTAAGCGACGCGCGTAACGATAATTGGCATAGTTATTTAGAACAACTCGCGCCCTCCCACCAAGCATACTGGCGACTAGCTAGGACTCTCAAATCCGAAACTACCGCTACTATGCCTCCCCTCTTACGCCCTTCAGGCCAACCACCGGCATTCGATGACGATGACAAGGCTGAGCTGCTGGCCGATGCACTGCAAGAGCAGTGCACCACCAGCACTCAACACGCGGACCCCGAACACACCGAGTTAGTCGACAGGGAGGTCGAGCGCAGAGCTTCCCTGCCGCCCTCGGACGCGTTACCCCCCATTACCACTGACGAAGTTAGAGACGCGATCCACAACCTCCAACCTAGGAAGGCACCCGGCTCCGACGGCATCCGCAACCGCGCGCTAAAACTCTTGCCAGTCCAACTGATAGCAATGTTGGCTACAATTTTAAATGCCGCTATGACGCACTGCATCTTTCCCGCGGTGTGGAAAGAAGCGGACGTTATCGGTATACATAAGCCGGGCAAACCGACAAACGAAACTTCTAGTTACCGTCCGATTAGTCTCCTCCCGACGATAGGAAAAATTTACGAACGGCTCCTTAGGAAACGCCTCTGGGATTTTGTTACCGCGAACAAAATTCTCATAGACGAACAGTTCGGATTCCGCTCTAAACACTCGTGCGTACAACAAGTGCACCGCCTCACGGAGCACATCCTGATAGGACTAAATAGGCGTAAACAAATCCCGACCGGCGCCCTCTTCTTCGACATCGCGAAGGCGTTCGACAAAGTCTGGCACAACGGTTTAATTTACAAACTGTACAACATGGGAGTGCCAGACAGACTCGTGCTCATCATACGAGACTTCTTGTCGAACCGTTCGTTTCGATATCGAGTAGAGGGAACTCGTTCTCGTCCCCGTCAACTGACTGCCGGAGTCCCGCAAGGCTCCGCGCTCTCCCCGTTATTATTTAGTTTGTATATCAATGATATACCCCGGTCTCCGGAGACCCATCTAGCGCTCTTCGCCGATGACACGGCTATCTACTACTCGTGTAGGAAGATGTCGCTGCTTCATCGGCGACTCCAGATCGCAGTAGCCACCATGGGACAGTGGTTCCGGAAGTGGCGAATAGACATCAACCCCACGAAAAGCGCAGCGGTGCTCTTCAAAAGGGGTCGCCCTCCGAACATCACTTCGAGCATCCCACTCCGTAGTAGGCGCGCAAACACCTCCGCCGTTAGTCCCATCACTCTCTTTGGCCAGCCCATACCGTGGGTCTCGAAGGTCAAATATCTAGGCGTCACCCTCGACAGAGGGATGACATTCCGTCCCCATATAAAAACGGTACGCGACCGCGCCGCGTTTATTCTAGGACGACTCTATCCAATGCTTTGTAGTCGAAGCAAACTGTCCCTCCGCAATAAGGTAACTCTCTACAAAACTTGTATACGCCCCGTCATGACGTATGCAAGCGTAGTGTTCGCTCACGCAGCCCGCACCCACTTGAAATCCCTTCAGGTTATTCAATCACGATTCTGCAGGATAGCCGTCGGAGCGCCATGGTTCCTTAGGAATGTGGATCTCCACGATGACCTGGAGCTCGACTCTCTTAGTAAGTATCTACAGTCGGCATCGCTGCGCCATTTTGAGAAGGCGGCACGACATGAGAACCCTCTCATCGTAGCCGCTGGAAATTACATACCCGACCCAGTAGACCGAATGGTAAACCGTCGACGTCGCCCAAAGCACGTCATTACGGATCCTCCTGATCCATTAACGGTGCTTTTAGGCACCACAAGCACCGGTCACCGTCCTCGTCGAACCCGTCGCTTGCGACGAAGGGCTCGACGAGCGAACTAACCCATAGACACAGCCCACTGAGTTTCTCGCCGGATCTTCTCAGTGGGTCGCGTTTCCGATCCGGTGGTAGATTCTGCGAAGCACTGCTCTTGCTAGGGTCAGTGTTAGCAACTCTCCGGTTGAGCCCCGCGAGCTCACCTACTAACGTTAGGGTGAAGCTGAAATAGCCTCTCAAGGCTATCAGCATAGGTAGGGGAAAAAAAAAAAAAAAAAGCTTAACATGACACTTACAGCAAGACGTCTCGTAAACTTGATAATTAAGTATAGTAGGCCCATAACCTTTATGCCACGGCAGTTTATAACCTAATTTCGTATTATGGAGGTAGGCATGAATTTGGCTTTTGAGGTTGGAATTGAGAAGGGCCTTCATTCTGGCTGACGGTGATGTGAATGAATCGGATCTTGGATGATAATGAGGTCCATTGATATATTTTATCTCATAAAGAGCTGGGAGGTTGAGGGCTGGGAACGTTTCAAGATTTTATTAATCTGAAAATCAATTGTATGAAGTGTGTTTTTTAAGTGACTAGCTGTACCCGTGCGCTTCGCTGGGCATTTAAAATTAACATTATTATTTCTCACCCCCACAAAGATTCTCATCATTAACGCCCCCGCAACTGGTATAGGGAGTCCAACACTCATATAAACATTAGCCTATCTATTAAGTACATGTATTTTCTGCATGGATACCAAGTTTCAAGTCAATCGGATGCATTGTTCAGTAGTTATGACGGAACCTCCGTAAAAACCACTGTAGATTTATATATTAGGACCTGTAGACTCACGCTATGGCGGGGGCCTTCAGGTATTAGAAGGAAAGGAAGACCGGTAACGCGTTGGGACAACGATATAATAAAAATCGCTGGTAAAAACTGGAAGACAATTGCCAAAAATAAAGACAAATGGAAAAGTCTGGAGGAGGCCTTCACCCTCACATAAGACGGGTTCTTGCATGCCTGCATGCTAAATTAATATAACCTTTTTTATATCTTTTATGTTGATCCGACTAATATTATACACAATTTATTAAGAATTCTATCATAATTAATATCTATTATTATTAATGTATTATCAACAATTTTTTTATAATTTTTGTAATGTCAATTTTTTTTTTAAATGCAAGAAATAAAAGGCTTTTTATTTTTTATTTATTTATTATAGATACAATGGCTAGGTAATATCATCAGGACGGATGGGTACAAACATCCGCTCTGCTTTCACTACAAAGCAATCATACTTTAGAGTAGGCCTTAGATCTTATAACCTAATCTGTTTCGCACCGGATCTTCTCAGTGAATCGCTATTTCAATCCAGTGGTAGATTTAACAAAGCACTACTCTTTCTGAGGCAGTTGTTAGCAAATCCATCCAGGCTGAGCCCCGCGAGGGAAAATAAAAGCTGATTATACCGTGAAGATATTCAAAGGTCAAACGTTTTAGCACAGCCTTTTCGACTCATATTTTATGCATCAAGATAAGCAGTGGCATTGGGATGTCCACAAGTTCTTGTTTGCAGTTAAAAACAGATGTACTCTAAGCTCATATAAGTTGATTAAAAATTCTAGTGTCAGTACATTTATTTATTTGGGAAACAAACAGTACAAAACAAATATATTATAATATTTAAAAAAATAGCTAAAACAATAACCAAATATATTTCCACAATCAAAATGCAGGCTATTTACTGAACTTCATGGATATACGCATTTTGAAGACTCATAAAGTCTATCGGAATCAGTATCGAGTCCTTAGAATGCTTTTGCTGGTAGAGGAACACTTTGTTAGCTTTCAGGTTTGAAGGGCGAGACAGACAGGCATTGTACTATACAGTTGAGACTAAACCTCAAGTCTCAAAATGGGTGATGGCATTAATTTTTTTTTAATATTTTTTTTTATTGCTTATATTTGTGGACGAGCTCACAGCCTACCTGGTGTTAAGTGGTTACTGGAGCCCATAGACTTCTACAGCGCAAATGCGTCACACACCTTGAAATTGTACTATACAGTTGAAACATAAACCTCAAGTCTCAAAATGGGTGGTGGCATTCATTTTTATTTTATTGCTTAGATGTGTGGACAGGATCAAAGCCCACCTGGTGTTAAATAGTTACTGGAGCCCATAGACACCTACATCGTAAATGCGCCACCCACCTTGAGATAAAAGTTTTAAGGTTTCAAGTATAGTTCGGCTGCCCTACCCTTCAAACCGCAACGCATTACTGCTTCACGGCAGAAATAGGCGGGGCGGCGGTACCTACCCGTGCGGACTCACAAGATGCCCTACCATCAGTAAAGAGGTTCTACCACTAGTAAAATTCATGCCGTAATATGGCCTTCAGTAACCACTTAAAACCAGCTAAAGCCAGTAACCACTTAAGACCGTAAGCTCTTTCAATCGGGCCTGTAATGCAAAAAGAATTTCATTCTCTCAGGGTCCATTTCAAAGCAACAGCTGATGATGACTACGCTGACTTCACGTGTGAGGCGAGACACGAGGCTCTCCCGAGGGACACCCCAATGAGGAGTACGGTGCAACTCAGCGTTCTATGTAAGTTGACTGTTATATTAATTGTCTTCTTTATGTATGTATAGTCTAAGTAAGGTTTTTCATACTAAAATTAAGGAAGTTTCGAGAAGGATTCGGTGATGGAAATAAGACTAATATGGCTCATTTCCAGTGGTGGTAATCAGTAACCACTTATATGTTCGCTTTTTTCCACTATTACTATTGGCCCAATGACAATGACCAAATCTGGCCTGCCGGTGTCCAACACATTTACGCGACCATCAGTAGATTGTCAGTCTTCCTCTTAGGAAGTTTACCCAGGATGCATCTTCCTGTACGCGGTGGCCACTCGAGAGCTTATTTATTGGCCATTGTCCTTCGAGCAATGTACCCTGCCCAGTGCCACTTCAAACCAGCATGCCCATGTTAGTTACCTACGAACTTAGTTTAACTTCTAAATCAACATCAATCATTACAGCTTTTCTGAATAATTATTAAAGCCTCTAAAATAAATATTATTCACCAATCTTAATGCATCATTCTCGCATATTTGGAAAGCGTTTTAAGTAAATCTTTACTCAGTAGATGACATATGCGTTTTCATATGTCTTATTTAGTTTTGGTACCGATTTTTACTGCTTTAGTGAATCGTGAATATCGTCAAAGAAATTGATTCACGGCTTGTGTTAATGCTGATTTGTGAAATTAAGACGCACCTTTAATTAGTGGCAAAAAAATACTACTTGGAACCGCTGGATTCATTCACAGAGCGTTTCCAAAGATCTTTTTTGCCACATACCATCCTGCTCTGAAATGAACTGCCCTCCACTGGGTTTCCTGAGCGCCTTCCATGTCTTTTCCTTAAACGAGGTTTCTGGAGAGTTTTAGTATTCTCCATAGATGCATTGTTTATGCCCCTGCCAATGCTAATGCTTATGACCGACGGCATACTCCTCTTCCCTGACTCGCATTCCTCATGTCTAAGGGTCGTGACCATCTCCTCCAATTATCCTTCTCGGGATGATGTTTTGCCATCTTCCTCTGTTCTCGGCAGTGTGTATGTGGCATCTTAGACTGTGGTATCCAGAATGGTGCGGATTTGATCGGATCAGCGCATTGGATTGCGGCCACGAGATCTTTTGCCTGCAATCTTTCCGATTACTTACTGGTTTAACAGCTTACAGTTTACTGGTGTTAGGTCCTCTTGTGAGTCCGCAGGAGTAGGTACCTCCACCCTGCCTATTTCTGCCGTGAAGCATTATTGCGTTTCGATTTGAAGGGTGGGCCAGCCGTTGTAACTATACTGAGACCTTAGAATTCATATCTCAAGGTTGGTTGCGGCATTTAGGTTGTAGATGTCTATGGGCTCTAGAAACCACTTAAGTCCAGGTGGGCTATAAGCTCGTCCAGGTTGGCTATAAGCTCGTCCACGCATCTATGCAATAAAAAAATAAAAAATCTACCTTCAATGTTTCCAGATCATTAACCTATTTAAGCATTTAAAAAAAAGCCAGTCTTGAAGGACAAAACAGGGATAAATATAAAAAGACGTCTCCCACATCGAAGATATTTTCAGAACGACATCATCAAATTAGGCCGGGCTCCCTCCCGTGCAGCGCATTGTTCACTAATAACCCAATTTGGCAGCTCGCAGGGAACGTACCACACACGCACAAGAAATAAAAGTGCAAAGTATTTGCTGCTAAAAATCCTGCAACACCGCGGGAGGCGAAATCCTTTTGTATTATCAAGTAATCGTTTTTGATACACGTACAACCCGAAAAATTATAATTTTCGTAATCACTGGTGGTAGGACCTCTTGTGAGTCCGCGCGGGTAGGTACCACTGCCCTGCCTGTTTCTGCTGTGAAGCAGTAATACGTTTCGGTTTGAAGGGTGGAGCAGTCGTTGTAACTATACTGAGACCTTAGAACTTATATCTCAAGGTGAGTGGCGCATTTATGTCGTAGACGTCTATGGGCCGTAGTAACCACTTAACACTAGGTAGGCCGTGACCACCCACCTAAGTATTAAAAAAAAATACAAATTATTGCTTAGATGGGTGGACGAGCTCACAGCCCATCTGGTGTTAAGTGGTTACTGGAGCCCATAGACATCCACAACGTAAATGCGCCACCCACCTTGAGATACAAGTTCTAAAGTCTCAAGTATAGTTACAACGGCTGCCCCACCCTTCAAACCGAAACGCATTACTGCTTAGACTAAGCGGAACCCTTAAACTAAAGATTCAAATCAAATAAACACAACCTATACCTTTATCAAGAATACTCTAAGCGAAAATGAAAAGCTCACAAAAATCCCCGCTCACGGTATCGATCAGAACCCCGAAAGCTCATGACGCACGGTCATGAAAGCTGCAAAAATAAACTCGAACCCGGTGTCTCGGTCGAAAGCTCACGGCATGAATTATAAATTTCCCATTTGGTCCTGAATTCCGAATCAACGTTTACCTTTCGGGCCCTATTGACTCGTGGAACGATAGAGAGCAGCTTAATTGCCTGTTGGAAGAGCTTTTAGAAATGACACATTTAACTCTATCCTGCTGCCTATAAATGACTGCAATGCAATTTCTAATGTGTTGTTGTTGTTGTAGTCCTAGGGTACTCCGCTGGTACATAGGGCCCTCACAAGTTGTCTCAATTTTTTTTTTATTGCTTACAAGGGTGGACGAGCTCACAGCCCACCTGGTGTTAAGTGGTTACTGGAGCCCATAGACATCCACAACGTAAATGCGCCACCCACCTTGAGATATAAGTTCTAAGGTCTCAAGTATAGTTACAACGGCTGCCCCACCCTTCAAACCGAAACGAATTACTGCTTCAAGGCATAAATAGGCAGGCTGGTGGTACCCACCCGTGCGGACTCACAAGAGGTCCTACCACCAGTAATTACGCAAATTATAATTTTGTGGGTTTAATTTTTATTACACGATGTTATTCCTTGACCGTGGAAGTAAATCGTGAACATTTGTTGAGTACGTATTTCGTTAGAAAAATTGGTACCCGCCTGAGATTCGAACACCGGTGCATTGCACAACACGTATACACCGAACGTCTTATCCGTTAGGCCACGACGAGTTCATCTCATAGCGCGAGATACGCAAATGAATTAATTGTACACTTAAAGTTAAGCACTTACACTAAACCAACCGTTAAAACTTGAAGAGCAACAGAGACAGCCTGAGATCAGCTCAGTACACGTCTATATTGATGGCATGTATTAAAGAGAACTAGAGGTCCCGCAGTAGTCGAAATTCGACTATAATTAATTGGAATTGTAAGTTTGTACACTATTATGATTGTTTTTTATACTTCTATAATCACAAATTTCGCCAAGGCTACACTATAAAAAATATTAGTAAAGACAATATTTAATCTATTCTCAATTTGACCACAGACGTCAAGAACAAAAGTTTGACAATAAATAGTATGCATGCGTGTGTGCATCAAATACATGTATTCCGGACGGCCACCGCTCAGGTTTCGGCCACCACGTGTGATTTTTAGACTTCTTACTCTCGTTGAAACGTGGTGGCTCGAGTATTGCCGCAGTGGCTGTCGCGGAACGGGTGCTGGGATTGGTTCGAGGAAAATAACGAAGGCTTCAGTATGGCGTTCACACGGTCCTCGTGGCTTGACCGGCGCAGGGCGTAGGAGCGAGTCTCTTCTTGTTCGACGGCTCTCTCCTCTTCTTCTGGAGAGGTCTTGACTCGTCGGCTCGCTGTCTCGAACTGAATTTGCAGCGAGGTAGGCCCCTTATTTATGGTCGCCCACACGCACTCGGCCAGCGCTATTATGAGTCCGAGCACGGTGGGCGTCTATTGTTCTCTCGGCCGCCTCGCTCGCCTATTGTTTGCCTAGTCGCTCTATTAGTTGCCCGTATTGTGACTCGCTCCTGCGTTCCCTCGCCAAATTAAAGACCACGAGGACCAATCTTTATTTTCAAACAAATAATATTTACAAATTTACTTATATCTACGTTTGTATGCTAACTATTTTTAACATACTGTCTATTTGGCTATTCTTTATCTATTAACGGACATTTTACTATAACTACTACGGACATTGTCTATTTCTATTAAATCTCGCTGTACTTTGCGAACATATTAACTATTTATCTATTACTATATTTTCTATCTATTTTAAACTATCAATGTCCGTCTCGAATAATATTCTACATTTATTCATGTCCGTCGCGAACAACATGGTATGTAGTGTGTAATGTTTTCTATATTGATTTAATGTACCATGTATGCATTCTTTTAAAAAATATTACCATTGTGCACTTCTTCTCTATATTCTCTATAAGTGTGGAAAATGTCGTACTCCTCCGTCCGCGCAATTTTCGTAAAAAGGGATACAAAGTTTTTGCTTCACGTATTAATATATGGATCACTGATTTCAACAATCAAATTCCGAATGTCAAAAGATTCTACCCAGAGGTGGCAGACCACCGGAAATTAAAAAAAAACACTGTCGGCTATTGTGTAAAAGTGTCTCTAAAGAAACCTACCGGTACATGCTATATTTCCTATAAAGAGCTCTTACTTCTGCAGAATAAAAGTATTCAACAACTTTAGCATCGCCCCACAGGAAGACTCCGCATAACATAATACTGTATTGAATCAAACCCGGAAAATTATAATTTACGTTATTACTGCTGGTAGGACCTCTTGTGAGTCCTCAAGGGTAGGTACGGTAGTACCCTGTCTATTTTAGCCGTGAAACAGTAATGCGTTTCGGTTTGAAGGGTAGAACAGCCGTTGTGACTATATTTTTTTTTTTTTTCCCTACCTATCCTGATAGCCTTGAGAGGCTATTTCAGNTTAACACCAGATGGGCTGTGAGCTCGTCCACACGTCTAAGCAATAAAAAAAAAAAAACCCTGTCTATTTTAGCCGTGAAACAGTAATGCATTTTGGTTTGAAGGGTAGGACAGCCGTTGTGACTATACTGCGACCTTAGAACTCATATCTCAAGGTTGGTGGCGGCATTTACGCTATGGGCTCCGGTGACTACTTAA